CCTAAACCCTAAACCCTAAACCCTAAACCCTAAACCCTAACCCTAAAGCCTGAACCCTGAACCCTGAACCCCGAACCCTGTAACCCTGTAACCCTACACCCTAAACCCTGTAACCCTAAACCCTAAACCCTGTAACCCTAAACCCTAAACCCTAAACCCTGTAACCCTGTAACCCTAGACCCTAAACCCTGTAACCCTAAACCCTACACCCTAAACCCTGTAACCCTAAACCCTAAACCCTAAACCCCAGCCCTCAACCTCAGCTCGCCCCAGTCGACCTGCGCCTCGAACTCAGGCCAGGCCGCCGCTTGCCCGGAGTGCCAGGAGCCTGCGGAGCTTTTTGGGTTTCGGGTTTAGGGCTTAGGGTTTAGGGTTTAGGGTTTAGGGTTTGGGGTTTGGGGTTTGGGGTTTGGGGTTTGGGGTTTAGGGTTTAGGGTTTAGGGTTTAGACCTAGCGACCTTTCTGGTCAGAAGGCCCCGACCTCCCTCAGAAGCCCTTTCCGGGGCCTTCGGCGCTGCCGCGACTTTGGCTGCGGCGACCTTCTCAACTTCCTTCTCCTGCATCTTGCGTATCCAGCGTTTTGGGCTTGGGGTTTGGCGTCTAGGGTTTGGGGTTTAAGGTTTAGGGTTTAGGGCTTTGGGCAGCCTAGGATTTCAACCCTGCACCCCAAACACTGAAACCCTAAACCCTAAACCCTAAACCCTAAACCACCCTAAACCCTAAACCACCCTAAACCCTAAACCCTAAACCCTAAACCCTAAACGGGAAGGTGCCTTGGCCGTAGGAGCTTGGGGAGGTGCCTCACGATCTCGGGTCCCTGCGCCCTAAACCCTAAACCCTGAACCCTAAACCCTAAACCCCAGAGCCCCCGTCGACCTCCACCACCATGTTTGCAGGCACCTGAAGAAGTGGGCTGGGTTTAGGGTTTGGGGTTTGGGGTTTAGGGTTTAGGGTTTAGGGTTTTGGGTTTAGGTTTTAGGGTTTAGGGTTTAGGGTTTAGAGTTTAGGGGTTAGGGTTTCGGGTGTAGGGTTGGGTTTAGGAACCTACGCCCTGGAAACCATCAAACCTAAACCCTATACCGCCAGAGCGAATACACTCCAAGCCTTAGGCCCCAAAGGGCCCTTGGCACTCTCGTGAACAGTTTAGGGATTGGGATGATCCAACCCTAAACCCCAAACCCGAAACCCTAAACCCTGAATTTCAAACAGTCCTTAAAAGGGATCATAATGGGGGGGTACTAGACTCTCCAAAGGACTGTTAGTGTGAGGGGGAGCATCCCAAAGTTTAGGGATTGGGGTCTGGGGTTTTCAGGGTCCAGAGTTCAAGGTTTAGGGTTTAGGGTTTAGGGTTTAGGGTTTAGGGTTTAGGGTTTAGGGTTTAGGGTTTAGGGTTCAGGGTTCAGGGTTTAGGGTTTAGGGCTCCTTGTGTCAGCATCGGGCAGTTTGATCATGAACCTAGAGCACAAAAAAATGAAAAGGGACCGCTGGGAGATCCAGATACGATCACCTCCGACCAAAGGACTCCAGCACAACAGAGCTGAATCCTAGACGCGCGACCGCTGAGCCGCGAAACTCTCCCTAAGCATCACCTCAACCCTGAACTCCTGAACCCTGGACCCTAGTAAACCCTACATGTTGGGATGCTCCCGCATTATACTAACGGTCCTTCGAGTATAGTACCCCCTATTGTAATCCCTATTAAGGGCTGTTAGTACAAGGGGGAACATCCCAACCTACGCCTCCACAAGCCCACCCTAGACCCTAAACCCTAAACCCTAAACCCTAAACCCACCACCACCCGCAACCCTCCTGGCTCCCGGCGTTTGCAAAGCCGACGCCGGGTCCGCTGAACGAGTCTTCCTCCTCCTGGGCCCTCAGCTCCTGCGAGTCTGCTCTGGGCTTTGGGGAGTTGAAGGGTTTAGGGTTTAGGGTTTAGGGTTTAGGGTTTAGGGTTTAGGGTTTAGGGTTTAGGGTTTAGGGTTTAGGGTTTAGGGTTAGGGTGTAGGGTTGAGGGTTGAGGGTTGAGGGTTGAGGGTTGAGGTTTGAGGGTTGAGGGTTGAGGGTTGAGGGTTGAGGGTTGAGGGTTGAGGGTTGAGGGTTGAGGGCTCAGGGTTGAGGGTTTGGGGCTCAGGGTTGAGGGTTGAGGGTTTAGGGTTTAGGGTTTAAGGTTTAGGTAGTTTGGGGTTTAGGCGGTTTAGAACTCGACGGCATGGCCACAAGCACGCTTCCGTTCAGGCTTTAGGCATTTTTTGGCTTCGATTGTCTAGGCTTTCCACAGTCCCTAAAACCCATATGGAACTCCAAACCCCTCCAAACCCAAGCCCGAAACAAAACCGAAACCCGGAATCCTGAACCCCAAACCCGCCTTGGCCCTCTTCTTCTCTTCCTCCTCCTCAGCAGCTCCGGTGCTAAAGGTCTAGGGTTTTGGGTTTAGGGTGTTAGGGTTCATAGGGCTTGCGGTGTTAGGGGGGCTTCCAGTGAAGGGCTCTTAAGTTCAGGGTTTGGACCAGCTCAAGTTTCAGCTTCATAGGGTCTAGGGGCTTAAGAGTTTAGGGGTTTTAGCAGGGTTTCAGGGTTTAGGGCTGTCTGGGTTTTGTGGCCCGTAGGAAGTGAACCCAATCGTGTCATCAGCCACCCAAAAACTGACACCCCGAACCCCGCTACCCCAAATTCCCTACAACCCTAAAACCCTAAACCCTAAACCCTGAACCCTAAACCCCAAACCCTAAACCCTAAACCCTGAACCCTGAACCCTGACCCCTGGACCCTGAACCCTGCACCCTAAACCCAAACCGAGCCGTGCGTCTTTCTTCAGTGTGCCATCCAGGTACTTGCGATATTCCGGGAACTCCTGCCAAGAGGGTTTAGGGATTAGGGTTGAAGGTTTGGGCTTTTGGGTTTTGGGGTTCATTTGGCTGAAGGCTCTAAGGTTTATTTGGTTTGGGGTTTGTGGGTCTCAGGGTTGAGGGTTTACAGGTGTTGAGGGGTTATGGGTGTAGGCCGTAGGGTTTAGGGTCGGTTTAGGGTTTAGGGTTTAGGGTTTCGGGCTTAGGCTTTAGGGCTTGGGCTTTAGGGTGCAGCGTTTAGTGTTTAGGGTTTACGGTGCGCCCCAGAAGATCTGATGGACGCCTCACCCAGCTGATTCTTGATGAAGAGCGTCTGGCCGTTCGTCACGAGGTTGTTGCACAGCCTAAGTAGGGGTTTCCTTCTCTCTTATTTTCGACCCCCAGGAGCACTGGTCTTCCATATTATGTTCAAGACTTTTCCAAAGAACCCTCATCCCTGAGCCAGTCCTAAGCCGGTTCAAGGGGTGTCCTGCTGCAGAGTTGGGGAGGGCCTGGATAAATGCCTTGCTAGTTCTCGGTAGGAGTTATACTGCAGAGCTTCATATAGAACCCGCTAAGGGGTTCCATTGGGACCCCAATTCCCAAATTCCCTGCGAAGAATCTCCAGAAACCCTGAATAACCTGCTAAGAACCAGTAGGAGGGCTTGCAGGTTTCCGTTCGTACTCCAAGGCTTCTTTAGGGCTTCAGGGTTTAGGGTTTAGGGTTTAGGGTTTAGGGTTTAGGGTTTAGGGTTTAGGGCTATTGGATTTAGGGTTTGAAAGCAGCTCAGGCCAGGTCCAGTAGATCCCGAGGCCCTGTGGGCTCACCAGGGCGGTGTAGCCAATGACCAACCTCAAGAAGCGCAGGCAACTCTTGCCGTTCAGACTTTAGGGTTTAGGGTTTAGGGTTTAGGGTTTAGGGTTTAGGGTTTAGGGTTTAGGGTTTAGGGTTTAGGGTATAGGGTTTAGGGTTTAGGGTTTAGGGGTAGGGTTTAGGGTTGCCGTAGGCCTTGAAGTTGTAGGTTCAGGGTTTAGGGTTTTTGAGGTTTACCTGTGCTTCAGGGCTTTAGAGTCTTTGGGGTTTAGGGTTCAGGGTTCAGGGTTTAGGCTCTAACAATGGCAGGGAAATTCTCGATCGTCACATCCTCCACGGCCAAGCCTGATCCTGAACCATTTGCACCCACACTGCCAAACAGAAAGCTAACCCTAGGCTCTAAATCCCTAAAACCCTAAAACCCAAACCCCAAACCCCAACCCTAAACCCTAAATCCCTAAACCCTAAATCCCTAAATCCCTAAACCCTAAACCCTGAACCCCAAACCCCACCTGCGCTCCTAGGGCCTTACCCTCAGTTTTGGCGAGGCGCGGGATCACGCTGTTGACGATCGCTGCGGGGCCACCCCTGCACCCGTGATGGGCGGCGGGATATGACACCATGTTAGAGTTTAGGTTTTAGGGATTTACGGGGCTAGGGTTTAGGGTTTAGGGTTTAGGGTTTAGGGTTTAGGGTTTAGGGTTTAGGGTTTAGGGTTTAGGGTTTAGGGTTTAGGGTTTAGGGTTTAGGGTTTAGGGTTTAGGGTTTCGGGCATAGGGGTTTAAGGTTTAGGGCTTGGGGTGCTAGAAATCGGGGCTTGGGTTGAGCACCCCTTACACCCTTGAACCCCAAGAAAAGGCTAAACTCCTATAGAATCCCACGCTCCTAAAATCCTAAACCTCCCAAAGCCCACAACCCCCGGAAGTACTCCTGAAACCTTCAGGAAAACCATAGAAAACTCTCAGAAGCCCTTGAAAAACACGAAACTTTAACCCAAACCGCCAGAAGCCGCTACCAAACCCCTAGAACCCCTAAGGAAACCCGCGGCAACTCTCTACCAACCTAGAACCCTAAAGCCCCCCTATCCCAGCACTCCCTACAGCCCTAAACCCTGAACCCCTAAGCCCTGAAATCCTAGACCCCTAAACCCTCTAAGCCCCGAAACCCCCTAAACCCCACAGCCCCAAAACCCTAAACCCCGAAACCCCTAAACCCTAAACCCCTAAACCCTAAACCCTAAACCCTAAACCCCTAAACCTCTAAACCCTAAACCGCTAAACCCCTAAACCCCAAAACCCCCAACCCTTAACCCCTAAACCCCTAAACCCCTAAACCCCTAAACCCCTAAACCCCTAAACCCCTAAACCCCTAAACCCCTAAACCCCTAAACCCCTAAACCCCTAAACCCCTAGGCCCCAAACCCGAAACCCCTAAACCAAGTCCCGGGCTGGTTGCCGGCATCAGGGTTGGTGAATTTCTGGGTGATGATCTGACCTCGTCTTGGCGTTCAGGGTTTAGGGTTTAGGGTTTAGGGTTTAGGGTTTAGGGTTTAGGGTTTAGGGTTTAGGGTTTAGGGTTATATAGGGTTTAGGGTTTAGTGGTTAGGTTTTAGGGTTTAGGGTTTAGGGTGTGGGGTCTGCGGGGTGGTTTCGGGTGTCGGCCATAGGGTGTGGGGTTTAGGGCTTGGTGTGGATGTCCCCAAATCGTGGCATCCAAGCCAGCAGGGTTGGATATTGCTCAACGTCCAACTAGAGCTAAAGCAGTCAGAACTACCTTCACCCCTGTTCGAAGTACGGATGAACCTCCACACAAAACACCGAAGCCCCACTGGAGATCCTTCTTATTAAGGGAATCCACTTCGAAGCTACCTGCCACTAAACCCCTAAACCCCAAACACCCCCATAAACCCCAAACCCCATACCCTGCGCCCTAAACCTTCTAAGAACCCTGAACCCTCATGAACCCTCCTAAACCAACCCTAGCCCCTAAACCCCAACGATTACTGAACAACTGAACCCTATCAAGCCTCAACACCCTAAACCCCAAACCCCAAACCCTAAACCGCATATCTAAACTTTCCGCAGCCTGGAATGCTGGGTTTGGGGTTCAGACGTCAGCGCGCAGCAGTTCCAAAGTTGCACCGTCTTCCATGAGGTTTAGAGCTTAGGGCTTAGGGGTTTAGGGCTTGGGGCTTCGGGTTTAGGGTTTCGGGTTTCGGATTTAGGGTTTGGGGCTCAGGAGGGGAGAACTCTCCCGGATCCTTTTTGAGAGTTGGGGGTTCAGAGCTTCGCTTAGGGGCTTCGTGCGCGGATGCTCCCCCTAAACAAAAGTGCCTCAACGGGATGAATTGGGGGTAGCAGAATCACTACTAAGGACTGCTAGTATAAGGGAGGGCACAAGAACCCTAAACCCTAAACCCGAACCCCTAAAACCGAAACCCTTAACCCTAAACCCTAAACCCCAAACCCTAAACCCTAAACCCCAAACCCTAAACCCTAAACCCTAACCATCCCAAGCTTGGCGTGTGGTGTATGGCACTGCTCTCAGCATCCTGCTGGCCACCAGCCCGATAGGGAGGACCAGGTATCGTGCAGCGTCCTCCCTGCAAAAGAGCGAGGAGCTTCGGGATTGGGGTTGCTTAGGGTTTAGGGTTTGGGGTTTAGGGTTTGGGGTTTAGGGTTTGGGGTTTGGGGTTTAGGGTTTAGGGTTTAGGGCTAGCCTGAGATACCTTGCGGGAGACGCCCAGCCCCAGCAAGACTAGCCCAGGGCGAAAGCGGCCTTGGGCTCCAAAAACGAGACACTAAGCGCCACCAAGACTTAAAGACTCAACCTACCACTACCACTACCACTAACACAAACACCAACACCAACACAAACACAAACACTAACACTAACACTAACACAAACACTAACAACCCTACACACAAAACCCAAAACACAACACTAACACTACTATTATTGGCCTCTAATATTCTCCCTTACTACGGCAAAACAGGGTTGTATTGTTCACTTTGTTGTTTTTTTTTTTGGGGGGGGGTTCTTAAGAAAAAGGTAGACCACTTGAACACGCAAACGCTGAAACCCCACTAGTTTCAATGCCCGCACTTGTCCTCGGCTTAGGGTCTAGGGTTTAGGGTCAGGGTGTAGGGTCAGGATTTAGGGTTCAGGGTTTAGGGTTTAGGGTTCAGGGTTTAGGGTTTAGGGTTCAGGGTTCAGGGTTTAGGGTTCAGGGTTCAGGGTTTAGGGTTCAGGGTTTGGGGTTCAGGGTTTAGGGTTTATCGCATCTTGGGGCCACCCACCAGCCCACGAGCGGGATGTACTCCGTGGGCGACTGCGAGCCAAGGAGCCAGTCCTGCCGTAGGCTTTAGGGTTTAGGGTTTAGGGTGCAGGGTTTAGGGTTTAGGGTTTAGGGTTTAGGGTTGAGGGTTGAGGGTTTAGGGTTTAGGGTGTAGGGTTTAGGGTTTAGGGTTTAGGGTTTAGGGTTTAGGGTTTAGGGTTTAGGGTTTAGGGTTTAGGGTTTAGGGGTTTAGGGTTAGGGTTAGGGTTTAGGGTTTAGGTTTAGGGGTTTAGGGTTTAGGGTTAGGGTTTAGGGTTTAGGGTTTAGGTTTAGTTTAGGTTTTAGGGTTTAGGGTTTAGGGTTTAGGGTTTAGGGTTTAGGGTTTAGGGTTTAGGTTTAGGGTTTAGGGTTTAGGGTTTAGGGTTTAGGGTTTAGGGTTTAGGGTTTAGGGTTTAGGGTTTAGGGTTTAGGGTTTAGGGTTTAGGGTTTAGGGTTTAGGGTTTAGGGTTTAGGGTTTAGGGTTTAGGGTTTAGGGTTTAGGGTTTAGGGTTTAGGGTTTAGGGCCGCTTTGGGTTTAGGGTTTTTGGTTGGGCCCTTAGCACGGTCCCCTACCCCTGTTTACAGAGATCCGAAGTATGGGCCCTTTGTATATTGTATATTGTATATTGTATATGTATATGTATATGTATATGAAAATGTATACGTATATGTATATGTATATGTATATGTATATGTATATGTGTATATACATATATGCTACCCCCCCCCCCCAGCGACCTACCTTTTTTAGGCCTTTTTAGGCCTTTTTAACAAAAAATAACAAAGAAGGCCCAAAAGTCGCGTAGTTAATCACCGGGTAATGAAGGACAGTTACTGGGACACCCACCTCACAGACCCCGATAAGCCAGCATTGGAAGAATCTACATTTTGAATCTGAAGCGGACAATGCTGTTTTTAGATGTTTAGATCAGTGTTTTTCCATGCAAATTGTGCCTTTCAAGGGCAATTAATGTTTTGTTGAGCAACTAATTTATTTATACAATTGTGTTTGTACGAGGCAAAGTATTAATCAAATAGTGAAACATTTTTCTTGGTTCTATGCGAATTTAGCTACTAGAGTAATTATTCAGCAAAAAGCCCAATTTGACTCAAGTGAATACTATTTAAAGGAGCATACTCAACCAAGATACGAAATAAACACCATTCTCAACCAAAAAATGGCAAAGTGTGCGTTTAAAGTGCAAATACTGTATTTATACAATTGTGTCTGTACTAGGCAAAGTATGCTCTCTGAAAAGTCCACTGAAATACCTTATGTTTACATATTCATGAATCGTTTTTATTTTTGAAATAATCATTTTATGCGAATTTAGCTACTAGAGTAATTATTGAGCAAATAGCCCAATTTGACTCAAGTGAATACCATTTAAAGGACCATACTCAACCAAAATACGAAAGAAGCACCATATTCAACCAAAATATGGCAAAGTGTGGTTTAAAGGGCAAATAGTGCTTTGTTGAGCAACTAATGCATTGAAACAGTTGTGTTTGTACCAGGCAAAGTATTATTGAAGTACTATCTGCAAAGTCAAATGAAACACCTTATGTTTACATATTCATGAAACAATTTTTTGAAGTATTCATTCTATGCGAATTTAACTACTAGAGGAATTCTTAAGCAAATAGACCAATTTGACTCAAGTGAATACTATTTAAAGGACCATACTCAACCAAATACGAAATAAACACTTGCGGAAATGGAAACGGTTCTACCTACATAACAATGAGACAAAGATTGCTGAAGTATTCACTAAAGACCACTTCTATACTATGTCTGAAAAGCACAATTTGCATGAGCAAGCTTAAACATGCACAATAATGGAAATAGAAGCGGTTCTACTTACATAACGATGAAACAAAGATGTCTGAAGTATTCAATAAAGACCACATATATACTATGCTTGAAAAACGCAACTTGCACAATCAGGCTTAAAAAATGCACAAGAATCCTAGAAAAGTACTTAGTGAAGGCCATACACAAGCAAATTCACAAATACATAAAAACATCCAAAAGCGCAAGCTTTTCAGGAGAATCTCTGGTAAAGTTTGGATTATAGGGTTTTGGGGTATTCCTGGACGAGTAGGCGTCACTTTTTAAGCAAACAATTCTAAGCAATAAATGCTTTTTCTCAAGACAAGTATTGCAAATGCTGCTTCTAGATAATTAATCGCATTTACCAGGCAAATATTATCCATGCGAATTGAGCTACCAGAGCACCAAGTAATGGCTGAATAAGGTCTACTACACTTGAGTACAATCAAAAGATGCACTAAACACTAGCGGCTCTACTTACATAATAACGAAACAAATAGTTCTGAAGCACTAGAAAGACCACTTGTATACTATTTCTGAAAAGCACAATTAGCATAAGCACACTTAAAAATGCGTAGTTGTTGCCTCGTGACCGTGAAGGCGAACCAAAAAGCCAAAATACCAAAACCAAAAAACCAAAAATACCAAAACCAAAAAAACCAAAAAAACCAAAACTAAAAAAACCAAAATACCAAAAAAACCAATTTTCCGGGACTCTTGGAGAAGCCTCATAGGGATTTCCTGAGAGTCCCGGAAAATTGGTTTTTTTGGTGTTTTTGGTTTTTTTGTTTTTGGTTTTTTTGGTTTTGGTTTTTTTGGTTTTGGTCTTTTTGGTTTTTTTGGTTTTGGTATTTTTGGTTTTTCTACTGTCCCGTGTATGCGATTTTAGTTGTATTTTAGTCTACGCCCTGGGAAATACGCTATATTGCACACCGAGTTTGCTTGCAGTGCAGCTGGGTGACTTGAGACAAGGCGAAAAAGGGTAGGTCACTGGGGGGGGGGGGGGTACCATATATATATATATATATATATTTATGTATTTATTTATTTATACATATAGTGTGGATAAGGGTTATATAACAAGGAACCCAAATTAAGGGCCCATGCTTGGATCCCTAGAATGCGGGTAATTCCATGGGCCCCCAGTGGGGTCCCTTGCCTTCATTAAAGGGTTCTAGTGTATGGGCCCTTGCGCTTTATAGGGTTTAGGGTTGAGGGTTTAGGGTTTAGGGTTTAGGGTTTAGGGTTTAGGGTTTAGGGGTATATAACGGATCCCCATTGAAGGCCCTATATTATTGGACCATGTAACTACCCTTAGAAAGGTGAGGGTTTAGGCCGTAGGGTCTTGTTATGGCCTGTGGGGCCTTTGTTGACAGGTCTTTAAAACATATTGAGAGAGAGAGAGAGAGCGCGAGCCAGCGAAACCCTAAACCCCTAAACCCCTAAACCCCTAAACCCCTAAACCCCTAAACCCCGAAACCCCTAAACCCCTAAACCCCAAACCCGACACCCTAAACCCTAAACCCCAAACCCTAAACCCCTTAACCCTAAACCCCTCAACCCGAAAAAAAAGTTGGCGGTCCAGGCTCGGGCTGCCAGACACCGGTCCAGACAGCGAGGGGATCCACAGGAATGGCTCCTGGCCAGCTTCCAAAACTTAGGGTTTAGGGTTTAGGGTTTAGGGCTTAGGGCTTAGGGCTTCGGGTTTAGGGTTTAGGGCTTAGGGCTTAGGGGGTAGGGTTTAGGGTTTAGGGCTAAGGGTTCAGGGTTCAGGGTTCAGGGTTCAGGGTTGAGGGTTGAGGGTTTAGGGTTTAGGGTGTAGGGTGTAGGGTGTAGGGTTTAGGGTTTAGGGTCTAGGGTCTAGGATCTAGGGTTTAGGGTTTAGGGTTTAGGATTTAGGGTTTAGGGTTTGGGGTTTAGGGTTTAGGGTTCAGGATTGAGGGCTTAGGGTTTAGGGTTTAGGGTTTAGGGGTGAGCTTGTAGGGCATTGAGGGCATTGGGTTTGGGGTGCAGGGTTTAGGGTGAGCTTTGCGGGGATTTGGGGGGGTTCTTGGGGTTTAGGGGTTAGAGTTTAGGGTTTGTCTATGGGTTTAGTTTCGGGTTCAGGGTGGGGTTTGGGGGCCTCCACAGGCCCTGAGCCCCCGCCCCCACACCCTCAACCGCCTAATCTGCCCTCGACCCGAAAGAACATCACAAGCCCCCAACGCACCCAAAGGCCTAAGCCCTCAACTCCTAGGCTCTGTAACCCTAAGCCCTAAGCCCTAAACCCTAAACCCTAAACCCTACACCCTAAACCATCATCTCCTAGGCTCCTTGAACCCTGAAGTCCCTAAGCCCCCCCCCCCCTCCAAGTCCGCTAAAACTCGAAGCCCTATTGCCAACCAAGCCCCCCAACAAAAATACCTAAGAGCCTGAACCCCCAAGCCCTGAGCCCTAAAACCTAAGCCCCAAACCCCTCAACCCTAAACCCTGAACCCTGCAGGGCCCTCAGCCCTCAACCCGAAGCCCTCAGAAGTTTCGGGTTTAGGGAAGCGTTAAGGGTTTAGGGTTCAGGGTCTACACCCCACGAAACCTGAAACCCGAAACCCCTCATCCGAGGCCTTGAACTTGGGATTGATCTCAGCCAGCTTCAGGATGGACCGGTAGAGGCCGATGAAGATAGGCACCTGTCTCAGGGTGCTTAATGTTTCGGGTGCTTAGGGTTTAGGGTTTAGGGGTTTAGGGTTTAGGGTTTAGGGTTTAGGGTTTAGGGTTTAGGGTGTAGGGTTTAGAGTTTAGGGTTTAGGGTTTAGGGTTTAAGGTGGCAAGGTGCATGCTCCCTGAACCTGGCCCCTTAATTTACCCAGAGGGTTCTTGGGCCTCAGGGTTGTGGTAGGGGCAAGAATGGGTCATGTAAGGAGTACCCAAAACCCTAAACCCCAAGCCGATAGGAAGGGAACTCCTCTAGGAAGGGCTCTCAGGGTTCAGGGTTCATGGCTTAGGGTGCTTTAGGGGCTTTCTGGTTTGAAGGGTTCATGGAATTGGAAACACGCCCAATTTTGGAGTCTCGAACCCGCTTTGTCTGAACCTGGGCACCTGGATGAGGGACGGGATGCACCTGAGCAAGACAAACCAGCACACATCAAGTCGTTGCGGTGTTGGGGCACAGGTCAACTGCGAGTGCTACTCGACACCGCGGCACAACTTCCCGAAAAGCCTGGGCGAACCCCCCCCCTCCAACACCGGCTATGAAAAGCCTTCCTGGCTACCATCACCAGAAGCCTTCTTACTTCGAGCTTTTTGTTAGCTTGGCCTTCCCGAAAAATCGCAACTGCAAAGATCCAAACACCTCAAACGTGCTTCAGCATCTGGAGTTTAGGGTTGAGGGACAGGGTTTAGGGTTTAGGGTTTGGGGTTTTGGGGTTTAGGGTTTAGGGTTTAGGGTTTAGTGTTCAGGGTTCAGGGTTTAGTCTTTAGGGTTCAGGGCTAGGAGGCCCCTGAGCCACACGCCCTCCTAGCGGGTTCACGCCGCAGTCGTCGTAGAGCCGGAGCAACATACGGTTCAGCGTCTCCTGATGTCTGCGCGATGGGTCAGGCTTCACGAGACTATTGTAGTACCCCCCCCTATTATAATCCCTACTAAGGACTGTTAGTATAAGGGGGAGCCAGCATCTCGTCTCCTCCCGAAGCCCGACTCACCCTAGGGGTTTAGGGTTTAGGGTTTAGGGTTTAGGGTTTAGGGTTTAGGGTTTAGGGCTTAGGGCTTAGGGTTTAGGGTTTAGGGTTTAGGGTTTAGGGTTTAGGGTTTAGGGTTTAGGGTTTAGGGTTTAGGGTTTAGGGTTTAGGGTTTAGGGTTTAGGGTTTAGGGTTTAGGGTTTAGGGTTTAGGTCCTGATCACTCTTGTACTTCCGCTGAATCTGGTCCACCTTTGGCTTAATGAGCTGCATGATCGCGGCGGAGCCTCAGCAAGGTGCTAGGGCTGCTCATCGCTGGTGGTAGACTTCTGAGGCCCCGGAACACCTGCTGACGCAAGCTGAGAACTTCGAAGTTAAATCCCCAAAAAAAGACGCGAGCGCAGGATTCGTTCTGCACTTGAGGGCAAGGCAAGGGGACCGAAAGCACAGTGGGCCCCCAAAGTCAGAGAGATGAAAGCGGCTCAGCTTACGCGACTCAGGCTATGCATGTGGAGCTCCTTCATACTACTTGCCGCGAACCTCTGTCATTGACACGACGCTTCTACAAATCGACATAAGACCTCTTAAGAACCACCCCAAAAAATCAAAACAATGTTTTCTTTTATGTATTTATTTTTGAGGGGGGGGGGTGCTTAAGCAAATAGTAGATCAACACCCTAAACCCCAAACCCTATACCCTAAGCATTGACAGAACGCCACTGAGGTCATCTGTGCGCCAAGCGGAGCGACGTCTGGTTCAGGGGAAAGGTGAGCAACTGCCGAGGAGAGAGAGAGAGAGAGAGAGAGAGAGAGAGAGAGAGCAAGACCCCGAGTCCCCCACCCTAAACCCTAACCCCGAAACCCTAAACCCTAAACTCTGAACCCTGAACCCTAAACCCTGAACCCTAAACCCTGAACTCTGAACCCTGAACCCTAAACCCTGAACCTTAAATCCTAAGCCCCGGGTTAGGGCAAGGGCTTACAGCTGGCCCCCAAGCAGCGGCGGAGTCTGAAGGTTGGGGGTTTGAAGGGGTTGGGTAGGGGTGGCTGAGGCTGAGAGGGCTGAGAGGGCTTAGGGCTTCGGGCTTAGGGCCTAGGGCTTAGGCAATTTCATGGACACGTCTGGCAGTCAGAATGTATGAAAACCAGCCCCAGCGTAGACCCAAAAGGCCACAGGCCTTGATGAAGAGGGTGTAGAAGATGATCGCGAATCCTCAGAGGCTCTTGGGGGTGGGTGTTTTTGGGCTCTAGGCTCTAAACTTCATGGCTCAGGGTTCGGAGTTCAGAACCTGATATTGTAGGGTTTAATTGGGGTCTGTCTAGGATCCTGATGATGTAGGGCTTAGGGCTTAGGGCTTAGGGCCTAGGGCCTAGGGCCTCGGGCTTCGGGCTTCGGGCTTCGGGCTTAGGGCTTGGGGCTTGGGGCTTGGGGCTTGGGGCTTGGGGCTTGGGGCTTGGGGCTTAGGGCTTAGGGCTTAGGGCTTAGGGCTCTGGGGGCAGGGCTTAGGGTGTGCAAGGCATGAAGCAATATCAAGCTTGCAGTTTCAGGATCGGGCTTTGAAGGGGCTATGCAGACCTAACCCCCTACCCCACCCCAACCCCGGACCCGAAACCCGAAACGCTGAAACCCTCAAGCCCGCCAAAACCCCAAAATCCTGAGACCCTACAGCCCTGAACGACTTGCGCGGGGGCCCGGGCCGAAACTGTTCGGAATATGCAGTTGATCCTCGACAACCTGAGGGGGGTTTAGGGTTAGGGGGCTCAGAGGTTTCAGGGTTTCAGGGTTTAGGGTTTAGGGTTTAGGGTTTAGGGCTAGGGGTTTAGGGGCTTCAGAGTTGAAACTTCGGGTAACCTGAAAGGGTCCGGAATTAATTTAGGGATTCTTTTTGTTTTTTTTGGGTATTTTTTTGTTTTTCTTGTTCTGTACTCAACACTAGTAAAAAAAAGTAGTAGTAGTAGTAGTAGTAGTAGTAGTAGTAGTAGTAGTAGTAGTAGTTGTTGTTAGTAGGAGTAGTTGTAGTTGTAGTTGTCGTCGTAGTAGTAGTAGTAGGAGCATTATTCGTAGGATTTCTTTATTTTTGGTTCGTTTTCGTGGTTTTCCCTAGGACAAAACTACATTCCCTCTTTATTTTAATAGGATTCATACTACTTTTCGTGGGATTTCTTACTTATCCTTTTTGGCTTGGTTCGTTTTCCTGGTTTTTCGTGAGAGAAAGCTACGTTCCGTCCAAATTCTCAAGGATTCATACTACTTATTACTTCTTTGAGTTTTCTTGGTTTTTCCTAGGAAAAAGCTACATCCCCTCTACAGTTTCATAGGATTCATATAACTTTTCGTGGGATTTCTTATTATCTAAAGATGGGTTTCAACAAAATTCATGGGCTTTGAAGCACGCTTTGCACGGCTTAAATAAAGCGGGTTGGGGGTTAGGGGGAGGGGGAGGGGGGCAACCCCCCCATTTGCAAACACAATGTTGACATGATGGGTTTCAACCAGATTCATAGGCTCTGAAGCCGCTTTGCACGGCTTACAAGAAGCGGGGGGGTTGGGGGGGGCGCAGCCCCCCCCCATTTGCAACCACAATGCTCACACGATGGGTTTCAACAAGATTCATATGCCTTGAAGCACGCTTTGCAGGGAGGGCGCAGCCTAGGGTGTATCTTAATATATATTATATCATAAAAGACCAAAAGAAAACACATTTTTCCAGACTGTACATACCGTCAAACGCATATATCAAAGAATCTTGGCTTTCTATACTATATACACTATTTATATATATATATATATACTATACCATATACCATACATATATATATATACATATATATATATATTCTATATAGATATATATATATATATAGAATATATATAGAATATATATATATATATAAATTCTATATATATATATATATCTATGTATTACACTATATATTTGCTCTATTTTGCTCTATATATATATGTGTTATATTATATTATATTATATATATAGTATATATATATAACTATACATATATAGTATTATAGTATATATATACATATATATATACCTATATATACTATATATACTATATATACTATATATCTATATATACTATATATATATATATATACTATATAGTTACTATGTAATACTATATATATACTATATATATATAATATACTCTATATACTCTATATATATACACTATATATGTGCTATTGTTTGCTATATATACTATATATATATATATATATGTATACGATATATACGGTATATACTATATATACAAACTATACTATACATACTACATATACGTTTTTACTTTATGTACTATATGCCCTACTATATATACTGAATATATATATATAACTGATACATACTGCTATATATACTCTATATATATATATATATACTATATATATATACTAGTATATATATATATACTCTATATACTATGATACACACTATATATACCATAGAATATTTTTTCGCGTGTGAAAATGCATGCTATATACACTGTACAACCTATAGTATGTGCACTATATAGATATATGTATAAAATATATCATACATATCTCATGTATACTCTCCTATATATACTATATATATATGACTTATGAACCAAAAAAACTACACTAGATATACTACATATATATATGTACATAGTCTATATATATATATATATACGATATGCACATATACTACATGTATACACTAGACACAAACATGGAAAAGCAAAAGCAACCGTCAAAAGCAGAAAGCCAAAAAATGACCTGAAACAAAAAGGAGCTAAGAGAAAAAGCAAAAGCAAAAGCAAAAGCAAAAGCAAAAGCAGAAGCACAAGCAAGAGCAAAACCAAAAGAAAAAGCAACAGGAAAAGCAAAAGCAAAAGCAAAAGCGACAAGCAAAAAGCGACAAGCAATTCAGACAGGCAAAAAACGACAAGCGAAAAGCAGAAAGCGAAAAGCATAGGCAGAAACAAGGAGAAAGGAACAAAAACAAGCAAAAAAAAAAAATACCCAAAAAAAAACAAAAAAAAATACCAAAAAAAAATGTTCTCCCAACCTGAAACCCTAAACCCTCAACCCTAAACCCTAAAACCTCAGGGCTTAGCAGGTTGAACGTCGTAGCTTCGGGCGCTCTGACTGAGGTCTCAAGGCGTCTCAGCTTCGGGACTCCGGCAGACCTTCGGCAACCGGCCCTGGACAGATTTAGCAGCACAAAAACCCTAAACCCCTGAGGCAGATCCCCGCTCCTAACCCCTAAACCCTAAACCCTAAACCCTAAACCCCTCAAATAAGAAGGCAACGAATCCACCCAGGGCCGGCGCGTTGTCGATTCCGGCAATGATGCCGGCGTTGAACTGGATAAGGGGCTCGAACCTTTGGGGCGTCAACGACGCCGCTTTAGGGCTTGTGGTCTACGTAGGGCTTGGGGCTTAGGGTTTGGGGGGCGCATTGGGGCTTTAGGGTTTAGGGCTTAGGGCTTAGGGCTTGGGGCTTAGGGCTTAGGGCTTAGGGCTTAGGGCTTAGGGCTTAGGGCTTAGGGCTTAGGGCTTAGGGCTTAGGGCTTAGGGCTTAGGGCTTAGGGCTTGGGGCTTGGGGTCTAGGGCCTGGGGCTTAGGGTATTGGGGGCCTTTGGGCTGATTAGTGATTAGGGTTTGAGGATGTCCTTGGGCGCTCAGGGTCTACAACCATGAGGGCTTAGGATTTAGGATTCGGGTTTCTGAAATAGGGCTCAGGGTTTAGGGTGTAGGGTGAAAAGGACCGATCCAATGGAGATGCCCAAATCGGCTCATTAAAAAAAACCCAAAATTCACCTATACAGAACCCAAAAAAAACCCAAGCCAGGGTTCGGAGAAACCCGCTAAGAACCTAAGACAAACCTGAAAAAAACATTAAAAAAAGGCGGCAACCAAGCACATGCTACGAGACATAGACCATGGCTTTGGCGCCCCGCCTCACCTGCATAGGGGGGGGGGGGGGGGGGGGGGGGGGGGGGGTGGGGGGGGGGGGTTGGGGGGGGGGGTTTGGGGGAGGTGAGGAGGGGGAGGGCGAGGGAAGGGGTGGGATGGGGGTTTTTTTTGGGGTTTTGATTGGGTTTTTTTTTCACGTTCTGTTCACGTTTTTTTCGCGTTTTTTTCGCGTTTTTTGTCGCGTTTTTTTCGCGTTTTTTTCACGTTTTTCCTAAGGAACACAAGAGCCCCCTCCCCTCGCTCCTGATTTCAGGGTTTGGGTTTTATCTGGGTTTTATACAGGATTTATGCAGGTTTTTTTTATGGTATATCTGTGTTCGTCTCCATGCCTCGAACCTTCTAAGTGTAGGGTTTAGGGTTTAGGGTTTAGGGTGTAGGGTGTAGGGTTTAGGGTTTAGGGTCTAGGAAGTATACTACTCTGGTATGGACACCCTTTTGGGGAGAATGCCAAAAGCCCGAAACCCCCAAACCCTAGACCCTCATCCTAAAGTTCACTTGTTGGGGAATGGGGGAATGAGCAGGGTCCCTTAAAGGGCAGACGTAGGGGGAGGTAAGGTGCCCCCTCATTCCTACTAAGAACCAGAAAAAGAAGACCTGATCATAAAGTTTAGGGCGACCTGGTAGGGGCCGCGCACGTCGCCCCCGCTGCTGGCAACCGTGCCCACCACCTGCGAGTCCCGAAGTAGGGGCCCCTGAAACTTAGGGTTTAGGGTTTAGGGTTTAGGGTTTAGGGTTTAGGGTTTAGGGTTTAGGGTTTAGGGTTTAGGGACCCCAACAGAGACCATACTGTAGTAGAGGTTGAGAAGTATGGGCCCTTATTTTGGAGCCCCATATATACACTATATATAATAAGGGCCCCATCCTTCGCAGCCCTATAAACAAGGGTAAGGGACCACACTTAGATGTAGAGAGCCTAGGAGGATTTTGGCTTTAGGGTTCTCAAGGTTCCGGGTTCAGGGTGCAGGGCCCTAAACCCTAAACCCTAAATCCTAAACCCTAAACCCTAAACCACCACACACAAAAAAAAAAAAGCAGGCCTCCTCGGCATCCTCGCCTGCACTTGAGGGCTGGAGGATGAAATGCTCTCATGGTTTAGGGTCTAGGGTTTAGGCCTTTACTTCTTGGGGCTTAGGGTTTAGGGTCTAGGGCTTAGGGTTGAGGGTTTAGGGTTTTAGGGTTTAGGGTTTAGGGATTAGGGTTTGGGGTTTGGGGTTTAGGGTTTAGGGTTTAGGGTTTGGGGTTTGGGGTTTGGGGTTTGGGGTTTACGGGTTTAGGGTTTAGGGTTTAGGGTTTAGGGTTTAGGGTTTAGGGTTTAGGGTTTAGGGTTTAGGGTTTAGGGTTTAGGGTTTAGGGTTTAGGGTTTAGCGCTCCTCTAAGTCACGGAAGGAAGGAAGGTATGAGGCTTAGGACGCAGGACGCATCCTCGCCTGCGTCGGCTGCCGCATCGGCAACCGCCGATGCCGCCTCGCCCAGCGCGGGTGGAGTGCGGATAGCGCCCTAAATCCTAAACCCTGAACCCTCAACCCCAAACCCCAAACCTGAACCCTAAACCCTAAACCCTAAACCCTACACCCTAAACCCTAAACCCTAAACCCTAAACCCCAACTAAGTGCCCTAAGCTTTGAAAGCGAGTCTGGAACAGGGTTCACAGCTGCTGAGCTCCATTCAAATTCACGTTCGTGAAGGTTTGGAGCTTGCTGTTTCTTCGGCTTAGGGTTTAGGGCTTCAGCATTCAGACCCTTAACCCTAAACCACCTTCGGAACACATCGCATTTGAAGGCCTTCAAGTCCCAAACCTTCTGAAAGCCCGAAAACCTCTAACTCCTCCAAAGCCCTGGAGCCTGATCTCTCTAAACATGAAACTTCTCAAACCCTAAGCCCTAACACTGCGGAACCCTGAAGCCCTAAAGACCCTACAACTGCAACCCCCAAACTGCGATTTGCTTCAGAGACACCCAAGACACGAAGAAGAGTCCTCCTGATGACGGCAACATAGGGGTTGTTATTCCTAAACCCTAAACCCTAAACCCTAAACCCTACACCCTAAACCCTAAACCCTAAACCCTAAACCCTATTCTTTCCTTTCGGGGAGCTTCTGACACAAATCAAGCGTCCCACCTCCTGCACCTCCTGGGCTAGCGCGGGGTTTGCGGCCATGACCTGACGCTCAGCTGCGAGGCTTGAAGTGTTCGGAACCAGGGAACCAGGGTTTAGGGTTTAGGGTTTAGGGTTTAGGGTTTAGGGTTTTCGGAGGCCTAGGTTTAAGGCCAGCAGCCTCATGGATCAAGGGCTTCAGAGGCCAAGGGTTTTGGGGTTCAGGGATTTGGGTTTAGGGTTTAGGGTTTAGGGTTTAGGGTTTAGGGTTTAGGGTTTAGGGTTTAGGGTTTAGGGTTTAGGGTTTAGGGTTTAGGGTTTAGGGTTTAGGGGATAGGGATTTGAATCAGGCTCGAGGTGTTCGAGGGGTTCAGGGCTTTGCCCTGCGTCCTAACTTGGACTTACACTTCGACTGCCAAGGCGGCATCCGACCTTCAGCAGAGAAAACCCCTGGAAGCTGGTCTTGCTCTTGCACACCGAGATCCTGAAACCCTTAAAACCCTGAAACACTGAGACCCTGAAGCCCTTTAGCCCTTCAACCCTTAACCCCCGAACCCTTAACACCTTAAAACCTTAAACCCCCAAACCCTAAACCCTTAAACCCTTAAAACCATAAACTCGTAAACCCTTAAACCCCGAAACCCTAAACCCTTAAACCCTTGAATTGTAAACCGGGCTTGAACTTCCCGAGTGTCGCGCCGCCGCTGCCGCAGCGGCCAGGACTCCAAATGCCTTGCATCCGCGGGGAATCTAGAGTTGCTTGGGGTTTAGGGTTTAGGGTTTAGGGTTTAGGGTTTAGGGTTTAGGGTTTAGGGTTTAGGGTTTAGGGGCTTGGGGTTTAGGGTTTGGGGTTTAGGGTTTGGGGTTTGGGGTTTGGGGGTTTGGGGTTTAGGGTTTGGGGTTTAGGGTTTGGGGTTTAGGGTTTAGGGTTTAGGGTTTAGGGTTTAGGGTTTAGGGTCACATCTTCGGGTGCAGGAGCAAAGTTGCGGCTTGGGCTTCAGGTGGTTCAGAGTTTCGTGATGCACAGTGTGTCGTCCTCGTCCAGGAGAAGCCCCAAACAGCAAACCCCAAACCCAGAAGCCTACGCACATCTAAGCCCACCACGACCTTCACTTGGTCGTCGCTGAGAGCCTGGTTTAGGGTTCAGGGTTTAGGGTTTAGGGTTTAGGGTTTAGGGTTTAGGGTTTAGGGTCTAGGGTTTAGGGTTCAGGGTTGAGGGGTTAGGGTTAGGGGTTGGGGGTTAGGGGTTAGGGGTTAGGGGTTAGGGGTTAGGGGTTAGGGGTTAGGGTTTAGGGTTTAGGGTTTAGGGTTTAGGGTTTACCAGAAAGGGTCAAACCCTAACCCTAAGCCCCGAAACATCGACGTCATAGACGTCCTGCTGTCCCACCCAACCCTGGGGCAACCAAGCTTTAGGGTCTGAGGTTCAAGTAAGGTTTTGGGTTTTGGGGCTGCTGGCCGCTTCATCCTGAACGTAGCAGGCCCAGCTGCCACGCAAAGCCGCGCCGCGGCAAGCTAAGAATCCCCCTCGCAAGCCCATCGAGAGAAAGAGAGAGAGAGAGGGAGAGAAAAACAGAGAGAGAGAGAGAGAGAAGGAGAGAGAAAGAGAGAGAGAGAGAGAGAACGGAGCAAACGCACACCCCCGAAACACTTTGAAGTTGATAGTGCAACACCAGCAAGTGCCCCAGAGAATCATGCAGGCAATCCCACGGCTACCTCCCTAAGCCTCACTCCGAAGCCCACGTAAGTAGACCCAAAGTCGGCAGCTCTTTGAACGCCTCAACCCTCAACTCCCAAACCCTTTACACCCACACCCCCTGCACTTCCGAAGCCCAATTTCTGGAGGGCTTAAGGGGTTTTTGGACTTGGGGGCTTAGGGGGTTAGGGCTCGAGATTTTAAAGACCCCCAACCCCCCAACCCTCACCCTTGCCCCTAAACCCTAAACCTTAAACCCTAAACCCTAAACCCTAAATCCTACCCTGAACCCTAGACCTCAACAAGCACCCGACATCGCACAAAAAGGAAACGAGGCGGCCACCATGTGTTGCCGGCCCCCGAGCTCCTTCGCAAGCCAAGGGGGGGGGGGGGGGTACTTGGAGGTTCATGGTACTTATTAACCAATTACAACTGTACTCGTAACCCACTTATAAGCCCCTTAGGTGCTCCAATATGGAAGTACCATGAACCTCCCATTAGGATTAGGATTTTGGGGTTTAGGGGTTTAGGGAGTGGGGAGGGGTTAGGAGTTTGGGTGTTCGGAACTTAGCGCATGGATTACTGCGGAGGATGAGTGCTTTGAGGGTTTGGAGGGTTGAGGGTTTAAGGATTAGGGCTTAGGGCTTGGAGCTCAGGGCTTAGGGCTTTAGGGCTTTGGGCTTGGGGTGCAGTTCTGGGGGCTTACGACCGTTAGGAGGCTGCGGCGCAAGGGTTTATGGGGACGTCCGAGTTGGGATTTCGGGCTTGAGCCCGTGTAGGGGCTTGAAGGAGGGCTTCAGATGGTCACTTCTCGAAAAACCCTATATGATCTGCGGCTCATATTACTAGTATATCTCCCCAAAGGACACCCATTATACACTCTCACCCAATATTTAAAAAGGAGCTCTAAATACACTTAAAACCAGCCTAAACCCTAAACCCTAAACCCTAAACCCTAAACCCTAAACCCTCAACCCTCACCAATACATACGAACCATGAGAGCTTCGCGGAGGCGCGCCTTGACGTCGACCTTTGCCTCAGGCTTCGTCTCCTTCAGCGGCTTCTCCATGGGCTCCTATGCACCAGGGCTTGGGGGTTTAGGGTTTTGGGGTTTGGGGTTTAGGGTTTAGGGTTTGGGGTTTTGGGGTTTGGGGTTTGGGGTTTGGGGTTTGGGGTTTTCATGGGTTCCCCAACAACCCCTCTAGACTACCCCCAAAGTTCCCCCCATAATTAAGACTATCTTAGGGATGATTAAGCCTAGCCTAGGGGAGGGGGGGTAGTATGGAGGCGTTTAGTAGGGAAAACCGGTGAGCTTAGGGCTTGTCGGGTCTTTGGGTGGTTGGGCTGATGTTTGGGGTTAAGGGTTTAGGGTTTAGGGTCTAGGGTTTAGGGTTTAGGGTTTAGGGCTGTATGCAAGACGAAGTTTAAGGGCGTGAGGTTTGAAACTCTTCGCCTTTCTTGGAACCTCTTTGAAACCTTTATGGGTTCCCTTCAACAAGTCATAGAGCCAACCTACAAATACAACTCCAACCCTAAACCCCAAACCCTGAACCCCAAACCCTAAACCTAAATCCTAAACCCTGAACCGCAAACCCTAAGCCCCAAGCCCTAAACCCTAAATCTTTGGTGTTTCTGATCTAGGGCGCTCGCCGGCCTTACGCGAATGGCGGAGACGCAAACTCTCTTCTGCTGAGCGCACACCCTACAAGGCTTCCGCTCCCTAAACCCTAAACCCTAAACCCTAAACCCCAAACCCCAAACCCAAATTCTAAACCCCCAAACCCTAAACCCCAAACCCCAAACCCGAAACCCTGCACCCTACAATTCTATAAACCCTATAAACCCTATCACCCTTAATCCTAAACCCCTTTTAAACCCCTAAAAAGCCCCCGAAAAAAAACTGAAGAAGTTGGACTCTTTGCATTTCAGGGCTCCGCTGCTCCGCCTTGAGGCTCGGCGTAGCTTGGGGGCTGCAGGAGTTTGGGAGTTTGGGCTTTAGGGTTTAGGGTTTGGGGTTTAGGGTTTGGGGTTTGGGGTTTGGGGTTTGGGGTTTGGGGTTTAGGTCTCAGAAGCCCAAAAAATGCCCAGAGAGCCTGGGCGGCAGTGGCCTTTACCGCCAAGACGATCTTGCTCGGCACCTTCTTCTTGCCCTTCGGCGGCTATCGCGGAACCCCGAAGCTTTCAGTCCCTTAGCCCGAAATTTGGGAGCAAACTTTTGGGAACCCCTGGAACGCCCTAAACCCAGGGATGTCATATGGTCAAGCTTCAAGCCCGAAATACAAAAACCTGAATGTTGAAGAATCCTACAACCTAGCCTAAGGCACTAAAGATCAAGCACTACAATCAAGATCACCTGTTCGGGGCGTGCCGTAGACTCTCAACCCAAAACCCCAAATCCTAGACACTAAACCCTAAATCCTGGCCCCGGATATGCTTTGGACCCTAAACCCAACCCTAAACCCTAAACCCTAAACCCGAAACCCTAAACCCCAGAAGAAGAAAAGGAAGAACCCTGCCCAGGAGGAGAGTTTCGACCAGAGCAGTGCTCGGCGCCGCGCAAATGCCGCCACGGCCGGCCGCGCTTCCACGGGCCGCCTTTGGGGTGCAGGGGGTTTTAGGGTTAGGGTTTCGGGTTTCGGGTTTCGGGTTTAGGGTTTAGGGTTTAGGGTTTAGGGTTTAGGGTTTAGGGTTTAGGGTTTAGGGTTTAGGGTTTAGGGTTTAGGGTTTAGGGTTTAGGGTTAGGTTTAGGGTTTAGGGTTTAGGGTTTAGGGTTTAGGGTTTAGGGTTTAGGGTTTAGGGTTTAGGGTTTAGGGTTTAGGGTTTAGGGTTTAGGGTTTAGGGTTTAGGGTTTAGGGTTTAGGGGGTTGAGGGGATTGAGGAGGTTTAGGGGGATCATGGCGGGAGGATGGAAAGTATCTCACCCAAGTGAGCCAACTTCCAGGTACAGCCCTGAACCGAAAACCCTGAACGCTGCACAGTTCATGCTGCCCCTGAACCTCCCAGGGGGCCGAAGCCCCCAAACCCCTAAACCCCTAAGCTCCTAAACCCTAAACCCTAAACCCTAAACCCTAAACCCTAAACCCTAAACCCCCTAAACCCGAAAAAAGCAGGCTAAAAAGGCTTGAGAGGCACCTCTTCGACACCACCCCCACCGCCAAAGCTGCAGCGGCGGCAACCAGCACCGACGATGAGCCTGCAGCCCTACACCCTGACCCAGGGTTTAGGGTTTAGGGTTTAGGGTTGAGGGTTTAGGGTTGAGGGTTTAGGGTTTAGGGTGTAGGGGGGCGGTTTAGGATTTAGGGTTTGGGAATAGGGGTTTGGGTTTAGGGTTTAGGGGTACTAGTTCGTTCTACCCGGGAACCTGCCCAGAACCCTAAGTTCCCGAAACCCTAAATCCTGAACGTTACACCCTACACCCTAAACCCTAACCTAACCCCTAACCCCTAAACCCTAAACCCTGAACGCTGAACCCTGAACCCTAAACCCTAAACCCTAAACCCTAAACCCTAAACCCTAAACCCTAAACCCTAAACCCTAACCCTGAACCCGAAAGCCTAAACCCTAAACCCCTAAACCCTAAACCCTAAACCCTAAACCCTAAACCCTAAACCCTAAACCCTAAACCTTACCTGGGAGGAGCCTCGCGCCGAAACCTCCGACGTGGTGCGCTCTGGCTTGGAGGCGAGCCTCCCGCGCGCCGGGCATGAGATGGGGAGCTTAGAGCTTAGGTTCCTAAACCCTAAACCCTAAACCCTAAACCCTAAACCCTAAACCCTAAACCCTAAACCCTAAACCCTAAACCCTAAACCCTAAACCCTAAACCCCAGACTAGACCCTGAACCCTGAACGCCCTAAACCCGAAAAATGCGAGGCAGGGTGGGGTTTGGGGTTTGGGGTTTGGGGTTTGGGGTTTGGGGTTTGGGGTTTAGGGTTTAGGGTTTGGGAATTTGGGTTTAGGGTTTAGGGTTTAGGGTTTGGCGATTGGGGTTTAGGGTTCAGTGTTGAGGGGCAAATGAAAATAAATAGGGTGTCCCTTTTGGGCTCCAGTCTTCACCCGAGGAAGAGTGAAGAAGGGTTTAGGGCTCATGCTTTAGCGCATCCCGATTACCCTAAAGCCTCCCTGGAAAAGGGGTCCCATAACTTCGGCTCAACCTCCACACACGAAAGGTTTCGGAACCCTAAACCCCCGAAATAGCCCTGAGGATTTGAGGCTTTAATGGTCTAAGGGTTTCAGGGGTTGAGGGTTACGTGTCGAGCTGTTGTTCGGAGAGGTCCCCCAGAACTCTGATGTCGGCTAAACCCGCAACTCGAAACGCTTTGAAGCCCTGAACCCTAAGCAACCCCTAAGCCCTGAACCCTAAACCCTCAACCCTAACCCTAAACCCTAAACCCTAAACCCTAAGCCCTGAACTCAGCGGTGGCAATCTTCAGATTTCGTCTCTACGCACCCCTGAAACCCTAAGCCTCGAGCCCCCAACCCGAAGCCCGCCGAAAGCCTGAAGGACTATATAAGCCCTGGCCCGAAACCCTAAACCCTAAACCCTAAACCCTCAACCCTAAACCCTAAACCCTACACCCTAAACACTGACACGAAACGCCGCCCCACCTGGCGACAGGAGCCACCTGCGGCGCCGCCCCGAGGGCAAAGGCCTCGCCCAAGCTTCTCTAAAGAATTAGGGTTTAGGGTTTAGGGTTCAGGGTTTAGGGTTCAGGGTTCAGGGTTTAGGGTTCAGGGTTCAGGGTTCAGGGTTCAGGGTTCAGGGTTCAGGGTTCAGGGTTCAGGGTTCAGGGTTCAGGGTTTAGGGTTCAGGGTTTAGGGTTTAGGGTTTAGGGTTTAGGGTTAGGGGTTGGGGGTTTAGGGTTGGGGTTTTAAACCTTTGGAGCTCTAGGGTTGAGGGTTCAGAGTTTGAAGGTTTTAGGGTTAGGACTTAGCCTTTTAGGGTTTAAGGTTGTTGAAGGTTGGGGGTTGAGGGTTGAGGGTTGAGGGTTGAGGGTTGAGGGTTGAGGGTTGAGGGTTGAGGGTTGAGGGTTGAGGGTTTGGGGCTTAGGGTTCAGGATTTGGTGTTCAGGGCGTCAGCCGGACCTCGTTCAGGAGCGCCATGGCAACTCAGTGCGTGCGCGCCGGACTAGTCGAAAGGATGCCAAGCAGGCAAGAACACCAAGTGGAAATGTGTGACCCAAGGGCGATTGCGGGGATTCATACCCTGAACAGATGCGACGCGCACACCGCTGGCTTTGAGCCATGGTTGGGAGGTGGGGGGGGGCGGGTATTGACATCGAAACCTGCAACCCGCCGCGCCACCCCAACCCCTAACACCCAAAAACCTAAACAGCCTCAACCTTGTTCAACACCCTAAACCCGACACCCGAAACACCTTCAACATTTGTGCAACGCCCGAAGCCTTGTCTTCTCAACACCCTGAACCGGCTTTGAACACTGGAGCTAGGGGTTCGGGATTCAGCCGCCCCTAGGGTGTGGTTTTTGGGGTTAGGGCTTAGGGTTGAGGGGTTTAGGGTTTAGGGTTTAAGGGCTAAGGGTTATGGCTTTAGAGGTAAGGGTTTAAGGTTTAAGGGTTAAGGGTTAAGGGTTTAAGGGTTTCGGAGTTCAGGGTTTAGGGTTCGGGGGGGGGGGGGGGGGGGAGGGATAGGTGGCTTAGGGGTGTAGAGTGCTTTCGGTTTTGGGGGGGAACAGACGTGCTTTGTTTTGGGGGGTGGCTTTGGAGGAACTGGCTTCTTGCTCTCCAGAGCCTCTCTTTGAAAACATGTGGGTGGGGGTCGTTAAGGTTTTGGGACCCTAAACCCTAAACCCTAAACCCCAAACCCTAAACCCTAAACCCTAAACCTTTGGGGGCGTTGAAGGCTCTGCAAGGTGAACCCCAAACCCTAAACCCTAAACCCTGAACCCTAAACCCTAAACCCCAATCCCCAAACCCTAAACCCTAAACCCCGGAATCCTGAAACCTCAATCTCTTGGGGTAGCGACATGGTCCCTTCAATATGGGCCCTTTCAGGAGGACCCCCAATGTACCCCACATATATAAAGGCCCACGCTTCAGAACCGGATCACATTGTGGGGCCATGGAACTACCCACAAGAAAACATCCCGGAACCCTGAAACCTCCCCTAAACACGAAGCCCTAAACCCTAAACCCTAAGCCCTAAACCCTAAGCCCTGAACCCTAAACCCTAAACCCTAAAACCTGCTTCTTTGTGCGGCCTTTGGACTCTCCAATGCGGGCGCATGCGTTAACGAAAATCCACTATGGAGAGGGCGCAAAGGGGTGCCTACCGACATTAAGGGTCTCTCTTGTGAGGCTTGAAGTTTGGTAGGAGTTGAGGGGTCAAGGGCTGAGCTCAAAAACCCTACAACCAAAACAACCTAGGGGGGCTTCGGTTCGGGCTTTCGGCCAGCTTGCCTGCATGATAAGCTGCGTCAGCAAGTTCGGGTATGGGGTTTTTGGTTTAGGGCTTAGGGCTTAGAGCTTGGGGCTTGGGGCTTGGGGCTTGGGGCTTGGGGCTTGGGGTTTAGGGCTGACAGCTCAGGGCAGAGGGCTTCGTGTTGAGGGCTTGGTAAGTTCAGCGAATCTCGTGTGGCCACACCACGTGCGCATGCCCTCCTCATAGCCCCTACAGCAAACAGATCTGACTGCGGCTTGTCCTCCCCACGGAATGTGGCAGGAGCTTTGAAACTCCATCCAAATCTGTAGGGTTCAGGGTTTAGGGTTTAGGGTTTAGGGATTAGGGTTAAGGTTCAGGGTTCAGGGTGTCGGGCTTAGGGTTGAGGGAGCTCCATAGATCCTTTCACGAAAAGCCGGAACGCCGAAGCCCAGAATCCGACGGAAATCGCTAACCTCCCCTTGGGATCGATTTAAACAAGCTTTGAAATCATTCCCGAGGGGGACGATAGGTCAAGCCACAACAGCAGGACTTAAGACCCTGCACATGGAGCCTTCCGGTGTCAAAAGGAGGGGCAGACGTGCGGAGTTGGCCCTGGGGTTTGGGGGGGCTCGGGTCCCCGCCTTTAAGGGGCACCCCGGCGTGGAACAACCCCCCTGTGTAGGACTCTAGGGGTGTTCTTCTATACTAGGGTCCGGTTTGCACAGGATGTGCTCAAAAAAGTCACCTATCAGCAGGGTTTGTAGGACAGCCTAAGCCCGGCACCCCCTCATGTAAGATTCCTCGGCTCTTAGAAACCAGGGTTTGTAGGACAACCTAAGCCCGAAACCCCCCTCATGTATCGGCTCTTAGGCACGGTCGCTCCAGAAGGCTCCCTGTGGCAGCACGCAGCCGCCCCGGCGACGCAGCCATCACTTGAGCAGCACCACCATGGCGCTGACCTCGCACCAGGAGGATAGCTTTAGGGTTTAGGGTTTAGGGTTTAGGGTTTAGGGTTTAGGGTTTAGGGTTTAGGGTTTAGGGTTTAGGGTTTAGGGTTTAGGGTTTAGGGTTTAGGGCTCAGGGTTTAGGGTTTAGGGTTTAGGGTTTAGGGTTTAGGGTTTAGGGTTTGCTTAGGGTGGCCCTAGGGTTCTTAAGGGAGGGGGGCTCAAGGGGGCATGCAACCCAAGGTTCCCTCATACTTCCCACTGTTCACTAGGCTCCTTAAGCTTCCCTAGGGTTCAGTAGATACCTACCCCCCATGACCCCCTCCCTTAGAAACCCCCAAACGCAGACCTCGGCCACAAAGTTTGTCGGCTTAGGGCTTCAGAACCTTTCGGGTTTAGGGGATTTTCAGAACCCTAAACTCTTAGGGGATCTTGGATTTCGGGTTTAGGGGTGTTCAGTGAGGAATATTCTTCTTTTTCTTCTTCAGTTCGTGTCTGCTTCGCCATCGAACCCCCTTGCCGTCGAATCCTAAACCATAAGCCCTAAACCCTTAAATCCCAAGTTCCCTAAACTTCAACTGGGCGCACGACATTGTCTCCACCACGGCCTGCGGTCAGCGCCTCGCGCAGGATTTAGGTTTTCAAAGTTTTAAGGCAAAGCCTCTTATAGAACATGTTTATTCTGTACCTCCGATACAGTTTAGCAAACGAGTTGCTTTCAGACCCCTAAACCCTAAGCCCTAAATCCTCAGCCCTAAGCTCTAAACTCTAAAGCCTGAACCCTAAACCCTTAACCTTAAACCCTAAACCCTAAACCCTAAACCCTAAACCCTAAACCCTAAACCCTAAACCCTAAACCCTAAACCCTAAACCCTAAACCCTAAACCCTGGCTGCTGCGGCAGAGGCGCCAAGTTATCACTGCAGCAGCTGTCGACGAGGTCCTCCACCACCTGCTGCAGAGGCCTCGGGTGGCCGAAAGGAGGGCTTTTAGGGTTTAGGGTTTAGGGTTTAGGGTTTAGGGTTGAGGGTTTAGGGTTTAGGGTTTAGGGTTTAGGGTTTAGGGTTTAGGGTTTGAGGTTTGAGGCTTCAGGGTTGGAGGGTTTAGGGCTTGGGGTGTAGGACTTCTAGGGTTTGAGGTTCTAGGGTTGTAGGGCGTAGGGGATTTATACGGGCTTTAGGGGTTTTAGGGATTACAGAACTAGGGCTGGGCTTAAGATGTTTTGGGCTTTTGGGGCTCCAGGGCTTTTAGGTTTTAGGGAGTTATAGTAGGGCTTAGGGTTCAGGATCTTTACACATAAACAGAAGGATCCCACAAACAGGGTTTTTCGGAATCCCCCCTTTTTCGGGGGCCCTTCTACCCCAATCGCAGGATCCTTACGGTGTTGTGTGGTTTTTTGGGGTCCCAGTTAAGGGCTTCATCCGCAGTTGTCCATGAACCTCGAGTTGAGCAATCGGGTTTAGGGTTTAGGGTTTAGGGTTGAGGGTTGAGGGTTGAGGGTTGAGGGTTGAGGGTTGAGGGTTGAGGGTTGAGGGTTGAAGGTTGAAGGTTTAGGGTTGGTGGGCTCAGGAGCTTGCAGAGAGTCAACCCCCTAAACCCTTAACCCCTAAACCCTAAACCCTGAACCCTGAACCCTGAACCTAAACCCTAAACCCTGAACCCAAGAAGAGTTTCCAGTTGAGGGCCGGCTCTGCTGGGGACCTCACTTGCCCTCCTGCAGCGAAGCCCGGACCATGTCGACGACGTCCTGTGGGGGACGTGCACCCACAGGCTTGGTTCAAGGATGAGGGAACCCGAAACTCTCAACCCTGAACCCTACACCCTAAACCCCAAGCCCCAAGCCCCAAGCCCTAACCCCTCAGCCCTGTAGGGTGCGGGGCTGATTATATGGAAGTCTGGGGTGGCAAAGCCCCCTAAACCTAAACCCTAAACCCTTGGGTTTCGGGTCTTGGCTCTGGGACATGTTGAAAACCTAGGCCACAGAAATGCGATGAGCTGCAATGCTAGGGTTGAGGGCCAGGGCCTATCTATCACTTGGCCAGCTCGCCCAACCATGGACTGTTTTGGGGGGTCACGAAAAGAACGAAACCCCGCAAGAGAGACCACCATTGAGAGAACTGCCCTCTTATACTCAAGCCAACGGCCTACATGTGTCGTCGAGGACCTCTGCACCTAGTGCCCGAATCCCCAAACATCCCCAGACCCTACATCCATGCCTGCGAGGAATGGAGCTCGAAGACTCCGTCGCAGCCAAGGAAAAGAAACTCGTCCTGCTCCGTGACCTCTTGGTGGGTTTCCTATATCGGGGTTTACGAGCATAGGGGAACCCCAAAAAGAACCCCCAAATAGAAGGATCGCCTTTTCGTAAGCACCCTAATAAGGTTCGATAACCCCCAAACTAGGGCGTGGGGTTCGGGGTCCCTCCTTCGGCGCCCACGATAACACCAGCCCTTATGGTGGGGTCCCTCAACTGCTTAAGGGTTTTGAGGGATTTCGGGTTTAGGGTTTGGAGGTTTAGGGTTTAGGGTTTGGAGGTTTAGGGTTTAGAGTTTGGAGGTTTAGGGGTTTAGGGGCTTAGGGCTTGGGGCACTCCAGCCCCTGTACCCCAAACACAAACCTCACACACTCGAAACCGCCCTGAACCCTAAACTGGCCCTAAACCCTAAACCCCGAGCAATGGCCTCCAACACTTGACAGTCCGGCTTCACGGACACCTTCTGCTCGCTGGGCAGAAGGTCCTGGCAGGGACAAGGATGCCGGGAAAAAGAAGGGGGAGCTAG